CCTTATTCACTTTTTCCTCTTTATTTCACATTTACCTATTTTACTCTTTTAATTCAGGCTTTCATTCCATCATTGTTTCGTTCCTTATTATTGTTATTATTATTATTATTATCTACTGAATATTCACACCCTTATACTCCTATGTTATGTTGAAATGCCACCACTGCCACCATAATTACTGGATAAACCTTTTTGAAATCAATACCTTTTAAAATCTTATAAAATTCCTTTATATCTCCCTTATGAATAATGTTAATACACACACACATGGCACCTCACGAAATAATCCTATATCCTAAAAAAAAAAAAAATCTGACGCATTTCATGATAATTTTTTTCAATTTTCTGTAATTCAAAATCCTTCACTCTTAAATTCACTCCCAAAATACCTCAATTAAAACCACCTCCAAGACATTTCTAAGTAGTTTTTTTTTTAGATCTAAGATTATTATGATGTTAATGACTAATATTACAGACCAACAAACTTAAAGGAGTATCATAAACATTTAAAAAAAAAAAAACTCTGCTAGACTCCAACTCTCGGACATTATTTCTAAATCCCACCGCTGCCACCAACAGAACAACCCGTTTCTGATGATGAGACCGGGGAAGAATTTCACAGGCAATGATCGCTTCTATGGGTTCTGCGTCGACCTCCTGCATGAGATATCAGTCCTCTCGGGCTTCGACTATATCATCGAGATGTCTCCTGAAGGGGTTTTCGGCGTCCAGAATTCCATAACAGGAGAATGGAACGGCATTGTCAAACAGCTCATGTCCGGGGTAGAGTGACAGACGCCAAAGGATTATTATTGTGTTATGTCTGGTGCTTAGTGCTTGGCGTAGTGTAGCTTGGAGATGATGGGTTGTAGGCCAGGGCTGGTTGTGATTGATGTTGTGGGTGGTTGTAGCACCTACTGAAGATTGTAATTCTATGTAGTTATGAGAGTTGGTTGTGATTTGGGTTATAGTAGGTAATACTGCTTATTGAAGAATAATAATTGTAAGTTGTTGTTGTCAAGTGTTGGTGATAATTTAGGTTGTAGATCGCTGTTTCACCTTCTAGCGATTGTACTTATAGGCTTTTGTCGACTATAGCTAACTGTAACTCAGATTGAAAAAAGGTTATGATGCCTAGTAAGGATTGTAGGTGGTTGCAGTGCAGAACTGAATGACACAGGCATCGTAGATGATTCAAATTCTTCCTAAAAATCCTATTTGGACTTAAATTAATCCAAGCTGTATCTGTGGCTGTAATGATTAGTACAGTATATTAATATTTACTGTAATCCTACCTAATACAGTAAGGTGTGTCCATAGTTTCTTTCACTTAATGACTGTACAGCTTAAGTTTTTCTGGAGATGATCGTAATGAGCTGTCTGCCAAAAACAATTTTCCTTCTAGCTTTTGTTCTCTCTCTCTTCATCTTCCCTCTTCCCTCTCTCTCTCTTTCTGTCTACTTTTCCCATCTATCTAGCGAAGCACATATACTGATTCAATTCAGTATACAAAGTGTACTATTATGAAGTACTGTGAATCCCGCGTGTATAAAATGAGAACACGAAAAAAAAGTTTAAGTGAAATATTTTACGTTTTATCTTAGTATTTCACTATATCTTTCTACAATTATTTTAAAGGTTCGTTATTGACTTTGTATACAGTGTACATAAGCTGAGTATATGAATATTTCTACCTGGGAAAATTTCTACTTGTTATTTTTGTGAAATTTTAATGTCATCTTTTACGTTTCTCTTCCATAACATTCCTAATCAACCCAACTCCTCGCTGTCTTCTTTGAAATTTCCAGCCACACAACATAAAGAAGAGAGAGGAAAAGAAACTCTAATAATGGACATTTATTCAAAGACGCTGGGATATGCGATGTTTTTTCATAGCCGTAGTATTTTCTAATGAACTTCGTAGGACTAAACATTGACAATGGATGGTTGACTTTGCACGATATAACACTTGTATTAGATGTGTCTGCTGGGGAGAAAGGCATCAACTCCATGGCTTCAGATTTGTATTAACTAGCTACTATATAATACTCAGAGCTAGTTGAATTACTACATAAACTCAGTGGCTATTGGTACTACATATAATCTGGGCTAGTGGTGCTATTACATATTCCCAGTACTAGTGGTGTTAAGATATAATGCAATATTCAGTGCCAAAATCATTGAGCCATCTGACTTAATATTAACACGAAAGGAAACTAACAAAAAAGATGAAATATATTTAATTACACTCGGAAGAATAAAACAATATATTAATTCTCTCGCTGTGAAATTAATTAGAAAGTTAAAGTTGTATATATTTCATTCTTTGCTTTTGTGTTGAGAAATATTTATTTTTTTTTCTTCAGTTGCCTTTTAAAAATGTTCAGCTGAAGTGAGGAAGGAATTAATTAATATGTATTTTTATGTTCCCAAGTGAGGTGCGGTTTTCAATGTAGGTATATATGTTTTTACTCTCTCTCTCTCTCCACCATCAGACACACTCCATCGTTCCATCTCTAACTGATTTACTGCCCAATTAAGTTCATCTAATTCGACCATTCGCTCAGCCAATCTTCTTCAAGCTGTTAGGGGACACTCAATGGCCTGTATTGTTACCTCCTAATTGGCCTCTGATTGGCTAAGCGTCTTAAGAAGGATCAGGTAGTGGTTAAAGGAGATGTGGTTTAATGATTCGTGTGAGTTTAAACCAATTACTCTGGTTTAGTTTTAATTGTTAGTGTTTAATTATCATGTTTTTGTTATTTAATTCATTTAGTTTAATATTGTTTCTTATTATTTTCTTTATTTTTGTATATATTCAACAAAAACAACAACAACAACAACAACAACTACAGCAACAACAACAACAACAACAACAACAACAACAACAACAACAACAACAATAACAACAACTACAACAACAACAACAACAACAACAACAACTACAACAACAACAGCAACAACAACAACAACAACAACAACAACAACAACAACAACAATCAGTTACACGTCTTCACCAAATATAACCCAATAAAAACATTCGTGGCAACTCTGACATTTAATTAGACAAACACACACAAAAAAAACACCAAACAAGTAAATTTCCTCCCGTTTTTGTATCATAGCTAATAAGTTAATAATATTTTAATGAGTTACACAAAATTTAATTAATTTCATTTAATTCTGACGTTTTTTTTATAGCAGTACTTTGAGAGTTTTTTTTTTACCCGTTAAATTTAATTCCTTCAGTGGGTTTATTTTTAATTCACAAGGTGGGTGTTTTTTTTTCCTTGTTTTTTTTTCTCTTTTTATGATTATTGAGTCGTGTTTGTTTATCTTTTGTTGTTTTTTTATGAGTTTTGTTACTTTTCTTCTGTCTGTCTGTCTGTCTGTCTGTCTTTCTCACTCTCTCTCTCTCTCTCTCTTTTTCACTTCCTTTCCCACTTTCTGTTCTCCTTCTCTTTCCTACCATTACGTCTTTCCCCTCCTCCCTTTTCCCCCGTTTCTTCCTTCCTTCCTTTCTTCCTTCCTTCCTTCCTTTCTTCCTTCCTTCCTTCTCATCTCGCCTTTATTCCACTCCACATTTCTCTCTCTCTCTTTCTCTCTCTAATAAAATCGCCATACACTGTAAAATAAATTCCTCACGATGACTTAGAAATAAACTGTTTATTTCTTTCTTATTCTTTATGTCTATTCTTACGGTAATTTATTTCAATGACTCATAACAAAATAGAATGCTGAAATCTATTCCCGAAAAAATGTCACAAAATTCTCTACCCAAAGTAAATAAATTCCCTACGTAAGCCAAATAAACTCCCTTGCTATGAATAAATTCCCTAGATACAATGAATAAATTCCCTAGATACGATGAATAAATTCCCTAGATACGATGAATAAATTCCCTAGATACGCTGAATAAATTCCCTAGATACGCTGAATAAATTCCTTAGATACGATGAATAAATTCCCTAGATACGATGAATAAATTCCCTAGATACGATGAATAAATTCCCTAGATACGCTGAATAAATTCCCTAGATACAATGAATAAATTCCCTAGATACGATGAATAAATTCCCTAGATACGATGAATAAATTCCCTAGATACGATGAATAAATTCCCTCGCTGCAATAAATAATTCTGGGGTGCTGGTAAACTGGAACACTAGGAGATGACGCATACCATCATCCATTACCAACCAGATCCTCCCAACAGTCACCAGGGAGTGCCAGAGGGTGCCAGGGAGTGCCAAAGGGTGCCAGGGAGTGCCATTATGAGCCAACCGCTGCTTGTGCCACTCTCACTCACTGCTGCCACCTCACACCACCCCTCATCCCTCTGGTGATTAAAGTATGCATTATTATTATTACTATTATTATTATCATTATTATTATTATTATTATTATTATTATTATTATTATTATCGTTTTTATTAATATTATTATTAATACTATTATTGTTGTTATTATTATTATTAAATAATAATAATAATAGTAGTACAAATTACTCGTACACACACACACACACACACACACACACGTACACACACACACACAATTTTAAGATTGAATAGAAGAAAAAACAGAAATAGAACAGGCCATTATTTTTATGTTATTCAGCGGGTTTTATTTTTATACCTCCCTGTGTGATGCCCCTCTCTCTCTCTCTCTCTCTCTCTCTCTCTCTCTCTCTCTCTCTCTCTCTCTCTCCCAAGCTATCTTTAAACAATATACAGTAAATACCCTTAATTATTTCCAGGATGATCAAAGGTCGTTCTTCCTGAAAAGTTATGGCATTTTTTTTTTCTATGATGAACTTAGTCATTCTTTTTCTCCCATGACGGTCTTTGTATTTTTTTTCCAGGATGGTTGTGTACATTATCCTTTTCTCCTTCTCTCCTCTTCCCCTTCCCCTCCATTCCTTCTCCTTCCTTCCTTCCATTTCCATCCCATCACCCTATATCCTCCCCTTCCTTCACCCCCACCCCTCCTTCCCCTCCTCCTTCCTTCCTCACCCCTCCATTCTCTTCCCTCCCTCTCCCCCACCTCATCCCCACCCCCCTCCCCATAACCCACCCCCTTATACGAGTTCCCCCTATACATGCGTCATCAGTTTTATAACCAATAGAGGTGGTGTAGGGGGGGGGTAGTGTGGTTCTATAGCCTCCATCTACCACACGAGGCTTTTCTTAGCGCCACAGATAACTATTTTCCATGTGATTGACTTTACGAGAGAGAGAGAGTGTGTGTGTGTGTGTGTGTGTGTGTGTGTGTGTGTGTGTGGATTAATCTCTCTTACTCTCCCGTATTACTATTCCCTACAGTCTCAATCCCTCACTCCCACTCACTCTCACAACACCAGGAAAATCCCTACGTGATGCTGAAACACGAGGATAACTTGTCTGGTAACGCACGGTACGAGGGATTCTGTATCGACATGCTGAAACACATCTCAGGTATGATAGGCTTCCAGTACCAGATCCGCGTGAGTCCGTCCAGAACTTACGGCATCCAAAATCCAGTCACAGGAGAGTGGAACGGCATCGTGCGTGAACTGCAGGATAGCGTGAGGATTTTCGTAAGATTTCGTGCATGTTTAAAAGGATGTCCTGTTTTTTTTTTTTGGGGGGGGGCTAATTATTCTTTTTTTTTTTGCATGTTTCTCTTCCATTTAATTTTTTTCCCAAATGCTTCACGAATAGACACAAGATAACGCATGATGTGTTAGTATTCTAAGTTGCATTGGGTGTTCGTGCATGTGTGTTAAACGGATTTGTTGTGGATTCAAAAACGGATTTGTTGTGGATTCAAAAGAACATGATCGGATGTTGAAAATGCATGTTAGTAATCCGCCCGTTCTTGTATCTACCTCATAGGCGTTCGTATATGTTCGTCAAGGATTTGTTTGCGTTTCTGGATCGAGTGATAGTTGAAGGTGATATAATATAGTAGTTCATAGTTCTTTTAAATAGTCTTGGATTTACTGCAGCGTTCGTGTATGCATCATGTGGATTTTTTGCATGTGTTTATGTTCGGATTATATATACCTGAACGTTACTCACCTTAAATCAAACGTAACCCAACCCAACGAAACCCAACCCAACCCAACCCAACCCAACCCAACCGAAACCCAACCCAACCCAACCCAACCCAACCCAACCAGGTGATCCAATGACAAACTTTCGTCAAACTCTACAAAATATATTTCTGTCTATCAACAAAACAGAGCGGAAGTGAAAGTTGGTAAAATATATTTGTGTTAGAAGGAATATATTATCTATATTTCAAACTATGTATTATACTTTTACAATCAACTATGCATGAATGAAAGTTTATTTACATTTTTTTCTTTTTTAACGTATTTGTGAATTTGAGAGAATCATTAATCAAACTATGTAATATAACCTGTTTTTATTAATGTATATTCCATTTATAACCATTACTGACTCGTTTTTTTCAAATAACTCAAAGGACAAGATATTAAATGAGTTTTTATAGAGAGCATAATTCAATTTATTTTCTTCACAATCATTATCAAATATTTACTTCCTACACGTTCGTATGTGATGCAAATAAAATAAATAAATAAAATAAATAAAAAATTAAATAACACGGGACAGTTTGCATACAGAATAATAAAGGTCTTTTACCCCCTTTAAGGAAATACTACCTCTGGTGGAGATTAGGTTAGGTTAGGTTTGGTTAGGTTAGGTTAGGGCGGCGTTCGGGTATTTAATCATCAGGTAAAATCAGCTGGGGGGGAAGGGTTAATTTTCAGGTAAACTCAAATGTTACCAGTATAAGTACACCTGACCTGACCTGACCTGACCTCTGACCTGACCAGTAAAGTGATTCTCTCGTGTTTCCCTGACTTAAAGCAGACGAGGGCTGCCGGGAGTTACTGGGGGAAGGTGAGACACACAAACAGACAGACAGATAGACAGACAGACAGACAGACAGACAGACAGACAGACAGACAGAATATAACCTGTTTTTATTAATGTATATTCCATTTATAACCATTACTGACTCGTTTTTTTCAAATAACTCAAAGGACAAGATATTAAATGAGTTTTTATAGAGAGCATAATTCAATTTATTTTCTTCACAATCATTATCAAATATTTACTTCCTACACGTTCGTATGTGATGCAAATAAAATAAATAAATAAAATAAATAAAAAATTAAATAACACGGGACAGTTTGCATACAGAATAATAAAGGTCTTTTACCCCCTTTAAGGAAATACTACCTCTGGTGGAGATTAGGTTAGGTTAGGTTTGGTTAGGTTAGGTTAGGGCGGCGTTCGGGTATTTAATCATCAGGTAAAATCAGCTGGGGGGGAAGGGTTAATTTTCAGGTAAACTCAAATGTTACCAGTATAAGTACACCTGACCTGACCTGACCTGACCTCTGACCTGACCAGTAAAGTGATTCTCTCGTGTTTCCCTGACTTAAAGCAGACGAGGGCTGCCGGGAGTTACTGGGGGAAGGTGAGACACACAAACAGACAGACAGATAGACAGACAGACAGACAGACAGACAGACAGACAGACAGACAGACAGACTCACTGACTGACCCACCCACTCACTCACTCACTCACAGTTAGTCCACCACAGATCATTGTTGAAGGTGACTGAATATCCGGGTCTTTCTTTCATATATCCGACCGAATTCCCGACTTGCTATAATGCCTAAATCAGTCTTATATAGACTTTCCGACCTATAATGCGAGGGTATCTATCATTCATATATCGGATCACCTTCCCGATACATACTGTCTATATTATTCCATATATCGGCCCGACTTCCCGATCTGATACTTCGCATATATCGCTCATTTATAAGTAAAATCGGATGACAAAAATCGGTTCTCAATTACCACCAACTTGCCATTATCATTGTATCGTTCAGGTTCCATTAGAGTTTGGCGAAAAAGAGAAAAGAAACATATTAGATTTTTTAGGTAAAGTCAATATTGCGGTATTGTAATTGAGAGAGAGAGAGAGATAAAGATAGGAAGAGAGAGAGAATGACAAACAAACAGACAGTGAGAAAGAGAAACATAAAGAGAGAGAGAGAGAGAGAACACAGTAATTATCTCTCGGCATCAGAACACTTTATGAGATGAAGAAATAAGTCTACCAAAGAGACAGAGAGGCAAAGAGACACGGGGGAGACAAAGAGACACAAGGACAGAGAGAGACAAAGAGACACAGGGAGACACAAAGAGACAAAGAGACACAGGGAGACACAGGGAGACAAAGAGACAGAGACAGAGATAGATACAGGCACAGAGAGACAGACCTACACGCCAAACCTCATGTACAGTCCCCTTCACTAGTGCGTTTACAGGGGCTCGTCATGTTATATGTACAGTCCCCTTCACTAGTGCGTTTACAGGGGCTCGTCAGGTTATATGTACAGTCCCCTTCACTAGTGCGTTTACAGGGGCTCGTCATGTTATATGTACAGTCCCCTTCACTAGTGCGTTTACAGGGGCTCGTCATGTTATATGTACAGTCCACTTCACTAGTGCGTTTACAGGGGCTCGTCAGGTTATATGTACAGTCCACTTCACTAGTGCGTTTACAGGGGCTCGTCAGGTTATATGTACAGTCCCTTGTAAACGTACTAATGAAGGGGACTGTACATATAACCTGACGAGCCCTTGTAAACGTACTAGTGAAAGGAAGGAAGTAGCAGACTCTTCAAGAGGAAAAAGGAAAGTAGCAGAAAGTATAGTAGTAAAGAGGAAAGTAACAACGTATAGGAAGAAGAGGGAAAGTAGAAGGAAGTATAGGAGGAAGGCGAAAGGTAACAGAAAGTAGCAGAAATTATAGGAGGAAGGAGGAAATTAGCCGACTGTCTAGGAGGAAAGGGGAAAGTAGCAGACTGTCCAGGTGTAAGGGAGAAAGAGGCAGACCTTGTAGGAGATGCAATGTGTATGCAAGAGTGATAGCCGAGGCTTCGATTCCGGAGAGAAAGCGAGATAGACAACTGAAACCTGGAACAATTCAAGACTTTGATAGTTCCAACTTAGAGTTAAGCAGTTGGCTACTCCGGGTGATGTAATGTGTATGCAAGAGAGATTGTTCCAGGATTCTCTTCCAGGAATGTATGTTGCCTGGAATTGCATCCTTGATCCAGGTCCCCGCTATCCTTCCTGTTGTCTGATATAGTTCTGGATTCTCAAGGTCTGTCGTATACATGCCAACGCAGGGGTCTAATTCCAGAGGACTAGTCTTGATGTTATATTCCAGACCTCGATTTCAATAGTATGGTCATAGAGTTTCTGGTCCAGGTCTTATTTCCAAAGTATGTCATCCAGACTTCCATTTCAGAGAAGTGGTTTTAGAAAAAGACTGCATCACAAATTTATTGAAAGTGTATTGAAACTCTTCCAGACTTCAGTTCCAGAGATTGGCGCTTGGGGAATTGATTCCAGACTTCTGTCCTTGAAATGACCAGCTCTGGTCTTGAAGTTTTAAGTCAAGGCTACAATTCCAGCACTAGGCCCTGAAGCTTTGACTTGAGACAATGATTCCAGTCTGGTTTTGAAGTTTTAAATGAAGGATTTGATTCCAGTCTAGCCTCAAAGCTTCAGTCCTAAGCTTCGATTCCAGTCTAACCATAAAGCTTCAGTTCCAAGCTTCGATTCCAGTCTAACCTTGAAGTTTCTGTTCCAGGCTTTGATTCCAGATATCTAGTCTCTGTATTCCAAGGAGTTATCAGACAGTCGCATTATATCATATTTTATTAGTGTGAGAATTACAAGTACACGTTATGGCAACAAGTAGATTATCTTGATGCTTGTGCCTCCTGCTTGTTATCTCTGCTTTTATGCTTTGTCATTGTGCTTGTTCTCTGTCTTGCTTTTGTTTTTATTTATTGTTTGTTTATGGACGTAGCTTAAAATTAATTTGCCTCTGATGTTCGAACGCTTTAGAACATTTGTATATATATAATAAGTTGGTTAATTCTAAACTTGACAAAAATAATCTTGACCAAATTTTAGATTAGGATTTTGTTTTGTTTAATTCTGACATTTTTCATTAACTTTTGGGTTAATTCCGAACCACCATCTTGGAAGGAATTAATTTCTTGTAATTCCCGACAATATTTAATTTAATTCTCGGTATATACACATAATCCACCAACGCCTATGTGAGTCCCTAATATTCTGATTTTCTTTAAGTTAATATTGGATTAATTCCGAGCCCTTCCCCCGTCTTAGAACAAGCAAATTCTATAGATATTCGAGGTATTTGAAATCTAATTCCTTGCTAATCTGACTTGCCACCACAGCTGAAGCATAATACCGATAATTGTGACTCCCTTCCAACTAATTCCAAACCCTCCACTCCAGAAAGCGGACCTGGCTATTGGCTCCATGACCATCAACTACGCCAGAGAGAATGTTATTGATTTCACCAAACCTTTCATGAACGTTGGAATCAGTATATTGTTTAAGGTAAATAACATGTGATTTATGTATTGTTTAAGGTATATAGCAGGTGATTTATATATAAATATATTTTAATTAATTTATTTTTTTATTTTTTTTTACTTTTTTACGGGAATTAGCCCACCCGGGCACAGGTCACTGACCCACATCAGGGCCTGGGGGGGCGAATAATAATAATAATAATAATTATTATTATTATTATTATTATTATTATTATTATTAAAATTAATACAAATTAATGCAAAATATAATAAAAAACAAAATAAATAAAAATAATAATAATAATAATAATAATAATAATAATAAATACAAAAACGAAAAAATAATAAAAGAGTGAGAAACAATATACAGAATGAATGTTGTGTTGTCAATGGTAAAACAAACAATTGAGACCCTGCAATTGTGTGTAAATGAGGCAGAAAGTCAGATCATCAACCTGGGACTTGGTCACATATGGCAGCAGGGTCTACCATTATGCTTCCAATATCTTCCCAGGCGGTAGTACCTCCCTGTTTGGTGGCTGCCAGACAAACGAAGAGAAAGCTTTAGTTAAATAGAAAAATGTATTAATACAAATAAAAATGAAGGAGAGAGAGAGAGAGAGAGAGAGAGAGAGAGAGAGAGAGAGAGAGAGAGAGAGAGTCTCACTTCACTCGACAGCCAGAAGAGGACGTCAGTCGTTCGAGGTATTAGGTGGGGGGGGGGGTGGTCTAAGGCGGCTAGTGTAAACATTGAGTCTTCTTTTTTATCATTGTGTTTTACTTGTTTCTTTCTTTCTTTCTGTGTATGTATGTATGTATGTATGTATGTATGTATGTGTTCTTATCTCTCTCCCTCTCTCTCCATTTCTTTTATATCCTCTTCTGTCTGTCTGTCTGTCTGTCTGTCTCTCGTGCCATCTACTATTACGGTAATGCTATAGAGGTAAACTCACCCACAGGTCAGTGTTTGTTCTTGTCTACCAGCTGTCTATATTTTGTCTACCAGCTGTCTACCTTTTGTCTACCAGCTGTCTACCTTACTCCTTTCAACACCTCACTTATTATCCTTTTTCTTCTATTTCCATATTTTTTCATTTTATTGCATATTATTTTTGTTCTTATTTTTCATTTATATTATCTATCATTTTTTTCTTCGTATTTTTGTCTTTATTTCTGTATTAATATTTTTTTTCATTCTTTATTATCTTTTGTTTTCTTACTTATATCTTTATTTATTTTATACTATTTTCAATTTATATTTCTGTTATCGGTTCTTCTCTTCTCCCATCTTTATTGCCGTTTCCTTCTATTTTTACCTTTATTGTTGGTGTTTTTCTATTTAATCCTTAATATATTTTAGCTTTACATTATTGTTGTTTTTTCATTTCCCATCTTTGTTAATTTTTTTTCCATATATTTATCATTATTCTATTATTCTTATTCTCCTTTTTATTTTGTATTATTTATATCTTTCTTGTTATTCCTTCTTATTGTCTTTATCACCTTTATTCCTATATTTGTTTAATTATTTTCCTTTGTCATATCTTACGTGTATTTATTCCTATTTGAGAGAGAGAGAGAGAGAGAGAGAGAGAGAGAGAGAGAGAGAGAGAGAGAGAGAGAGACTATTTACCAGCACAATATTCAGAGATCTTCACTACCTCATTATCCTTCGTGTAATAACCTGAAAGAGAGAGAGAGAGAGAGAGAGAGAGAGAGTTATGAAGATAGACATATACAGAGAAAAGGGGAGAGAGAAAATGGGAGATATATAAAAAGAGAGAGAGACAGAGAAACAGAGAGACAGATATTAGAGTGAGGGATTTCTCCATGAACTGGTGCAGTGTGTAATAACTATTCAGGGTTGCTTGATGAATTCAGTAATATGAAGCTTATAACAGAGGCAGAGATGAGAGAGGGGGTATTGTTAAAGGCTAATGTGTGTGTGTGTGTGTGTGTGTGTGTGTGTGTGTGTGTGTGTGTGTGAAGATCTCTTAATAATAAACCTAATATTAACAATAATAATAATAATAATAATAATAATAATAATAATAATAATAATAATAATAATAATAATACAACCACAACCACCACCACTACCTACGTCAACAACAAACACTTCAACATTATCATCAACAAAAAACAAACCTTTCCCCTTACAAAAAACAATAAAACACTCCACACAAACACCAAAAAACACTCCACAAACACCAAAAAAAAAAACCACATTTCCTAGCTCAACAAACTAACAACACCTCGTTCGTATCTCCCACCAACCCTCTACAGGTACCTACGAGTCAACAAACCCGTCTCTTCTCTTTCATGAATCCATTAGCTATTGAGATCTGGCTTTATGTATTAGCTGCGTACATCCTGGTCTCTATTACCATGTTCATCGTCGCCCGCTTCTCCCCCTACGAGTGGTACAACCCTCACCCGTGTGCCCAGGAGAACGATGTGGTAGAGAATCAGTTTTCACTTTCCAATAGTTTCTGGTTTACCATTGGTACCTTAATGCAGCAAGGTTCTGATCTTAACCCCAAGGTAAGAGAAGATTGTGTTTTTCTCTCTCTCTCTCTCTCTCTCTCTCTCTCTCTCTCTCTCTCTCTCTCTCTCTCGTCACGGGACATCAGGTTGTGACAGGAGTTCTCACACTTCGGCTGCTGTTGACATGCTTTTAATGTCATGTTTAACGATGACGACACCTCACCACCGCCTTCCCCTACACACACACACACACACACACGCACACACACACCTATAATGAAATATCTAACAGTATAAGAATAGTGAAATATAGATATAAAATATATAATTATATAATTTACATCAAGCGAACGTAATTTTCTTCACATTATATCTAGGATGAACGGCTTCACTAGCATTGTTGTTTTAGTTAATCCTGTGAAAATAATGTCTGTTTTGCATATTGTATAAGGTATATATTGTATTACCAGATAGATTAGACAGACAGACACACAGACAGAGAGAGAAATAATAGACAGATAGACAGATGGACAGACAGGATAGAGAAAAATAAATAAAAAGACAGACAGACAGAGAGACAGACAGACAAACAGACAGACAGACAAACAGACAGACAGACTCACACACAGAAAAATAAACAGACAGACAGAGAGACAGAAAAGACAGACAGAAAAGACAGAACTCCTCGTAATTCCTACATTTTGACAAAGCGACATTCTTTGAAAGCAATATACCCCCTCTGGTGGTGGCCGTGAAGGTGAGGTAGTGATGATATCTCTCTCTCTCCCAATCCCCCAAGTGAAATACCTCGACCCAAAGACTCCAATCATCCCTTCAAATCCCTCCCTCCCCCCTCCTCCTCCCCACCCCCCTTCCCTACCCTCCCCACAATCCCATTCTCTTCTCCAGGTCCAAACATTATAATCTAACCCAGTGGTTTTCAATCAGGGTCAGTGTGGTCAGTCCTCTAGCCTCACTCTCCCCCTCCCTCCCTCCCCCTCCCGCCACCACTACCACCCTCCTCCCCCCCTCCCCCTCCACCTTACCTCCTACCCCTCCCCCTTCCCTCCTCACCTCCCCCTACCCAATGAGAGGTCAGGGTCAGGGTGAGATTCATGATGTGTTGACGTTTTGTTTACCACTGAAAATATATATGTCTGTCTGTCTGTCTGTCTCTTTCTGTCTGTCTGTCTTTTTCTGTCTGTCTGTCTGTCTGTCTGCCTGTCTTTTTCTGTCTGTCTGTTTGTCATTGTCTATCGCTTTTTCTGTCTGTTTCTCTCTATTTCTGTCTGTCTCTCTTTGTCTCTGTCTCTCTCACCTCTCCCTTTCTCTATCTCTGTCTCTATCTGTCTGTATCTCTATCAGTGTCTGTCGTTTTCTCTCCCTCTCTCTCTATTTCTGTCTGTTAAATTGATCTGTCTCTCTTTCTCTCTCTCTCTCTCTCTCTCTCTTTCTCTATATGCGTGAGAGAACCAAACAATAATTGTCTTTCTCCCCGTGGGCGTGTGGGCGTGTTGATGACAGTGGTGGTGATGGGTGGTGTGGGTGTAACCAAACACTAATCTTTGCCTCCCTTCTCCCGTGGGCGTGTGCAGGCGTGCTCGACGAGGATCGTGGGCGGCATCTGGTGGTTCTTCACACTCATTATAATCTCCTCCTATACCGCTAACCTGGCTGCCTTCCTCACTGTGGAGAGAATGATCACGCCCATAGGTAAGTGAGAGAGAGAGAGAGAGAGAGAGAGAGAGAGAGAGAGAGAGAGAGAGAGACCTGTTATAGTGTAAACCAATTGTATGGACACACACACACACACACACACACACACACCTCAGCACCCCCTCAAAAAATTCTTGGGGAAAAAACAGCCGAAACTTTACATATTAGTGGCCCACCTGGTGATTATTTCCTCATAAGCTCACCTGTGTGGGGAAAACTCTCAAATCTTGCTGGAAACTCGGGAAAAAATGATTTTTTTCGCTCTCGGAAGATGTAAGCGTTTATTATTATTATCATTATTATTATTATCATTATTATTTTTAGCTCGATGGTGGAAGACTTTTTTTTTATATATATTCTGTCTTGGGTGATGGAAAAAAAATATTCGTTTTGTTTTAAGAATTTTTTTCTTGGATGATTGACTATTTTTTAACTTTCTTTTTGGTATATTTTTCAATACCTCGATTTTATTGTCTCTAAATTTTTATATTTTAATTAATATATATCTAATATATTGATTTTTTTAAAGTTATTTAGTCATATTGATTTTTATTTCAGTTTTCAAAATTATTAAAAGTTTATAATTTTGGTTTTAGAAAATATTTAGCAATAGTGTTTATTTAAAAATTGATTTAAAAATATTTTGAAAGTTAGATTTTGTAAGATTTTTTTTCAAGTTATTTAGAAAATTTTAGTTTTGAAATTCAATCAGTAGCACACACACACACACACACACACAAACACACACACACACACACACAAAGAGGGTAAGGGCGAGAGTGGACCATATAGCACAGTGGAACATATTCACTGGTCCAGAAGTTCCGTGCGGGAGGAACACAGAAGACAAGTTTACGGCACACAGAAGTTAGATATTGTGTAGTGGAGCCTGGCAGAGAGAGAGAGAGAGAGAGAGAGAGAGAGAGAGAGAGAGAGAGAGAGAGAGAATACCCCTCCCTCCTGCCACCAATCCTGATCACTGATTGGCCACAACGGTACTCTGATTAGCTAGTTTATGGGCGGGGTTATCGGAGACGGGTGACGGGGCAGCCCATGGTCGACCCATTTTATAACGCCATTTATTATAGGAATCTGAGAACTGGTTTGTGATAATCATTATTTATTTGTGTGAGTTTCTGTGTGTGTGTGTGTGTGTGTGTGTGTGTGTGTGTGTGTACCTAAAAGTGAAGAGTAAATAATATGTTTTTTCATGTAATATTATTTATATATGTGTATAATACTAACAGCTAATATATTCCTCTATATGTGATATAATCCATAACCTAACCTAACCTTTCTTCCAGCTGTATGCAGAATAAAACAGAGAAACCATTATATTACGTGTAACTTGGTAATAGAGAGGACTAATTTTATTTCAAATTTCCTCTGCATGCCATACCTGAGAAACACTTTCCTCCCTAAAAATTTATTCATCTTTTGAAATACGATGGTATGTGTATTACAGAAAAGAGACTGTATTTTGTATTCCAGAGGGGGCAGAGGACTTAGCATCACAAACTGAGATCTCGTATGGGTCTTTGGGAGGAGGGACTACCCTTACTTTCTTCAGGGTAAGAATGAGGACCTGGGTTTATTGAGAGACATCACCTGTGGTCTCTCATTATGTCTGTTTACCTGCTGCATGGAGGCGCTGATTAGTCTGCATGGGATATATTGTGTTTTTTGGGAGCATTATTTAATATGTTGTCTTTAGTTTCTCTCTGTTTCTTATTTATAACTTATGTGTTTTTTTATTTACACATCGAAAAAAAAATATCAGTCTGGCAATGTATCTTAATCGGGAGGTTTCTGTAATTTTTTCTTGTACAGTCGGGGTCAAAAGTTCGCTCCCTACCAAAATGAAACGGTGTCGACCCCAAATGAGATCAAACAGCACAGCCAGGGTAAGTACAGTAAGTTCCAGTGAATCAGTTTCACTACGAGGAGCGAACATTTGTCCCCGACTGTCTTTATTTTTTTTTATTGTTTTATCGCGTGTAATAAATTTTCAATGTTATTTTCATGCCATTGTGAACGTCGCCACCTTGTTTCCATGCCAATGTGAACGCTGCCACCTTATTTTCATGTCACTGTGAATGCTGCCACCTTATTTTCATGTCACTGTGAACGCTGCCACCTTATTTTCATGTCACTGTGAACGCTGCCACCTTATTTCCATGCCACTGTGAATGCTGCCACCTTATTTTCATGTCACTGTGAACGCTGCCACCTTATTTCCATGCCACTGTGAATGCTGCCACCTTATTTCCATGCCACTGTGAACGCTCCCACCTTATTTCCATGTCACTGTGAACGCTGCAGAGACAGGTTGGCTGAATCTTGTGCCTGAGTACAGATATTCAGAGATTCGCAAGATGAATATTCCTAGTAATTTGATTTCATGCTGCGGTAGATTTATGATATTTGTTTGAGATTCCAGCTATCATTGTATTAATGTTCTGTAATATTTTATTTTATTTATTATTCCGTTCAGTGTTCCACCATGAAAAAAATAACTAATGGGCGATTCTCCACACAAAATCTAATTGTTTCTCTGATTCTACCTTTATCAAGACTATTCCATTATTATTTGGCATTTCTTCATTCTTATGTTTTCCACCATGCTATGAAAACTTAAACATTATTTCCATTTTTTCTTATTTTTACCTAATATTATTTTCCCACTTTTTTCCTCACCTAAGGCAGTGGTTCCGATCCTGTATGACTCCTTTGAATTACTGCCATGCAAATGTTAAGGAGATGATCTTTTAGATACTCTTGCATGATAAATGGCAATAGTTTATCCTCCTCTGCATGACTAGACTGCCAAGGATGACCCTATACAGATATCCATGATGGAGAGCTTTAGTTTGTCTGTCTATGTGTAAGAAACTCCCCGAGTTGCTATGTATTGCAGAGAAACCCAACACACAGAAACTTGATAAATAGTTAAATATACAATACATACTTGTAACCTTATCTAGAACCATTCTATACATACTTATACATAGTGAAATGGACAAATTTATGCATTACAGAAAAGGATGTTATTCATTTCTTCGTTATAATGCTGACTGAGTCTCAAAGTAGGTTAAAAGAGGGAATTTTGTTGAATTTGTCGTTGTTTGCGCATTTTAGTCCATTTTTGTCCTTGTTTGTGCATTTTTGTTCTTGTTTGTGCATTTTTGTTCTTGTTTGTGCATTTTTTCCTTGTTTGTGCATTTTGGTCCTTGTTTGTGCATTTTTGTCCTTGTTTGTGCATTTTTGTTCTTGTTTGTGCATTTCTGTCCTTGTTTGTGCATGATGAGTGTTGCATGTGTGTTGCAGATGACGTGGAGGACCTGGCCAGTCAGACTGAGATCGCTTACGGTACCCAAGCGTCTGGCTCTACCATGACCTTCTTCAGGGTATGATCCTAGGGCCTCCTCCTCTTCTTCTTCCTCCTCCTCATCTTCTCTTTCTGATTTTTCCTCCTCCTTTTATTTTTTTCTTCCCCCTTCCCCTCCTCTTCTTCCTCCTACTCGTCTTCTTCTTCCTCTTTCTCCTCGTCTTCTTATTTCTCCTCCTCTGCCTCCCCCCCCCTCTTCTCCTTTTACTTATTTTCTTCCTTCACCTTCTACCCCTTATCTTCTTCCTCCCCTCCTCCTTCCCTTCATCTTCTTCCCCATTCTCTCTCTCATCCTCTTCCTCTCTTCGTCTTCTCCCCCTCCTTTTCCCAACCCCCCCCTCCACCCTACACATAATATACAGGACCCCGACACAGGTGAGCTCAAGGTAAAGTTCCCCAAACTCCCTCACAGAGGCATAAATCCATCAGGGGAAGTCGGTAAGTTTGTTTTGCGGTTTCTTGAGGGAGATAAACGAGATAAAGTTAGAGACAAGAGAAGAAGAGATAGTCATTATTAAGCTAGTGTAGATCTCATAAGATTTTATAGTATTTTAATGAATAATCAATATACCTGACCTGACGTGACCTGACTCTGCCTACGATGACCTAACTGTACCTAATGTGACATAACATGATCTAACTGTACCTGATGTGACCTGAATGCACTTGACGTGACCAGACATCACTTGAGTTTACCTGACTTGATTGTACCTGATGTGACCTGACATCGCGTGATTGTTCCTGACGTGACCTAATATGACCTGACTGTACATGACGTGACCTGACTATACCTGACGTGACCTAACTGTACCTGATGTGACCTAACATGACTTAAATGTAAGTAACGTGACCTGACATAACCTAACTGTACCTAACGTGACCTGACATGACCTAACATTAACAAGAGCTAATAGGTTATAGGTCAGTTGCTATTCTAGGATAGAGGATCACTTCTATAATTACTACAACGTGATTGAAATTATAATACCTTAAACCCCCCTGTACTTATTGACCGTTTAAGTAGAATATAAGTACAATCCTTTCTTATCTATACTAAAACACTAACTTTATAAGTACTGTAATAAAAAGAACACTACTTAAATTTACTTAAAACAGATACCCTCAAGTAGGAAACCTGAAGACACTTAAAATCAACTTTATTCCCAAACTAAGACACTTACAAACTCAGACACACGATACTTTACACTTTCCATCAATACTTTTTTGGACGGGTTATTATTCCATCTCTGATTGGTTAGGTTTGTGCTGTGGAAGACCAATGATACTCGTCCCCTCCAGTTTGCCCGAAGGTCGTGCATTTTGATTGGTTCGTTTTGAAGTTCCAAGAGAAGATGTGATTGGTCCTGAGGGGTTGATATTAAGCTTGGGTTCATTGTAGGGATAAGAAGGAAGAGAGGAAGGAAGATAATTCCTTCCTTCCTTCCTTTCTTCCCCCTCTTCCTCATTCTATCCTTCCTTTTCCCTTCATCAATCCCCCTCCCTATTTTTTCCCTTTCCTCTATCCTTCACCTCTCTCTCCTTCTCCCCTCCCTCCCGATCGTCTTCTTCCTCCTCCCACACTTTTATCCTCTCCTCTCGCCCTTTTCCCACCTTTCTCTTTTTTCAATCCCTCCTTCTCTCCCCTTCGCCAATTCCCATCTTCTTCTTCCCCCTCCCACCCATCTTCCCTACCCCCCTCCTCTCTCCTTAACCCCTCCCCATCTCTTCTTAACCCTCCCCATCTCTCCTTAACCCCTCCCCATCTCTCCTTAACCCCCATATCTTCTTAACCCTTCCCCATCTCTCCTTAACCCCTCCCATCTCTCCCCTCCCCCATCTCCTTAACCCCTCCCCATCTCTTCTTAACCCTTCCCCATCTCTCTAACCCCCCTCTCCTTAACCCCTCCCCATCTCCTTAACCCTCCCCATCTCTTCTTAACCCCTCCCCATCTCTCCTTAACCCCCCCCCTCTCTTCTCTCTCCTCTCAGCTGGGAATATTGGCGTCCAATACTGAGACTCATTTTCTCAGTATGAAAAGGAATTTCTTCGATAGTGTCTGTCTGTCTGTCTGTCTATCTATCTATCTATCTATACTCTTATTCTTCCTTTGCATTAGTCTTCATTCTTTTTCTTTCTTTCGATAAATTCACGTTTCTCTCTCTCTCTCTAATCAGTTTTTATGACCTGACGTGACCTTACCTAGTTGTCATTGACCTGACCTTTCCTGACCAACTTCTTACCCGAGTCGTCAACAATTTAGTTTTAAAGTCTATAATAATGTCTTAATGACCTGTCCTGACCTGACCTGCCCTGACTTGATTTGAGTTGACCTGACATGACCTGACTTGACCATAATAAATCACCAAGAAAGTCGCCAACTGCATGACCTTAAATAGCCTACCTCACCTGACCTATCCCGCCTTCTCAAGTCCTGAACAAGAAATTTCTATGGCTTTAACCAATCGAGTTTCTTATGACCTCGTAAAACAGGATGATCTGACCTATCCTGACCTTATCAAGCATTTCATTTAACTTTAGAAAACCAGGCTGTCAGGGTGATATTACGAACTAAAAATTTATGAAGATTACAGGTCAAAGAGGCCATAGTCCTAACCTAATCCATTGTTCATTTGTGTTTTTTTTTGTATTTTGATAATTAATGGAAAATTATAATTGTAAACTTTTTCGTATTTGAATAATATTTTTGTCTAAATTTATGATTATTTTGGGTAATAATAATAATAATAATAACAACAAAACACGATCAATGCTCCTTGAAAAACCTCTCAAATCACAATAAATTACCTCACAAAATACCTTTCTCTCTCTCCAACCCTCCCGAACAGGATTCCAAGATCGAGACCTACCAGAAAATGTGGCGTTTCATGGAGAACAAGAAACCAAGTGTGTTCGTACAGTCCTATGACGAAGGGATCAGGCGGGTATTGGAGGGGAATTACGCCTTTCTTATGGAGTCTTCGATGCTTGATTACTATGTCCAGAGGAATTGTAACCTGACGCAGATTGGTGGCCTTCTCGACTCCAAGAGCTATGGCATTGCTACTCCTATGGGTGAGTGACCTGTGTTGAGTGAGTGAACTGTGTTGAGTGAGTGGTCTATGTTGAGTGAGTGACCTGTGTTGAGCGACCTGAGTTTTGTGACCTGTGTTAAGTGACCTAAGTGAGTGACCTGTGTTGAGTAACCTGTGTTGATTGAGTGACCTGAGTTGAGTAACCTGAGTTGAGTGACCTGAGTTTTGTGACCTGTGTTGAGTGGTCTATGTTGAGTAAGTGACCTGAGTTGAGTAACCTGAGTTGAGTGACCTGTGTTGATTGTCTGGAGGCTAGAATGTAGTGCCCAGCTCGATTCCTAAACTCATGTGTCTGGTCAGAGATGAAGACCTGTAGGGTCGGCAGATTTCAACATGGCGAGGTGTAAGTAAGTAAATTTTTAGGTTTTATCCATTTCCCTATCTGTATGGTGCTTCATGTGACAACCCCTCCCCGTTTAACTAGCTAGGATAATAGGTTTAGTGTTCTGAAGTGTAATTGTCAATCTTAATAGAAAGTGTTCAAAGTGTTCAAAATGTTCAATAAACGAAGAACAATTAATAGTGTCATAAATTTCACTCTTGTTGTTGTTGAGTAAAACAGCCAATATATTATATGACTTTGGTGTTATATATTGATTCATTAGTAATAAAATAATTATCCCCAAGTGTCCCATTATGTTTCAGTTATTGCATGTTGGGTTATTTCCTCTTTTATTCTCTTCTACTCCTCTTTTCCTTCCCTCTTCCCTCATTTCAGTTACCCTATGCTGGGGGAAGGGGGGGAGGTGGGGGGTGACCATAGGCAAATCCCCCCCCTCCTCACCTCTCTCTCTCTCTCTCTCTCTCTCTCTCTCTCTCACGAGTATAAGCGAAGAAAATAAACGTAAAATAAGCTCGTTTATTACATCTGTGTTGAGAGAGAGAGAGAGAGAGAGAGAGAGAGAGATAATAATCAGTGTGTGTGTGGGGCAGCTAATTAATAAGACTAGCGATGTAAGTCATAATCTTGGATCACAGTGGAGAGTATGAGCTATCTCTCTGTCTCTATCTCTATCTCTCTCTCTCTGTATCTCTACCTCTATCTCTCTCTGTATCTCTATTGCAGACTCCTTATTTTCTTATGTTCTTATGTTCTTATCTATCTATCTCTCTCTCTCTCTCTCTCTCTCTCTCTCTCTCTCTCAGGAGGCGCCATGCATAATAATTAATGATCTAATTTGATGTTAATTGTACCACGATGATGGAGACTAATTCACTCTACCTCCCCTACCTGTAAGAGAGAGAGAGAGAGAGAGAGAGAGAGAGAGAGAGAGAGAGAGAGAGAGAGAGAGATCTTCTTAAAAACCAGAAAGAAAAGTAATGGAGATTTTTTTTTAGTTAAACAAATTTATTGACAAAGCTTGGAGTACAGTTTGCCTATTCAGTCAGGCCTTGACACTGAGGGTGGTATCACTGTTCACTGCCACACAGGACAGAGGTTCATACACAAAGAGTACAGTTTGCCTATTCAGTCAGGCCTTGACACTGAGGGTGGTATCACTGTTCACTGCCACACAGGACAGAGGTTCATACACAAAGAAATACACCATATTCATTAACATTATATATATATGTCAGAGTCATGTGGGTGATGTCACTGTTCACTGCCATGCAAGACAGTGGTTCATATACATTGGACGTCATATTCTAATTGAAGACTAATCAGTGTGGGCTAGTAAATTTTGGATAAACAGCAAGCATGTCCTCAAGCACCCTTGATTCAATGTTGTAATTACAAAGTTCACGATACAATAAGCCAGGTGGCCTGAAGTCTTTGACAGTGTCACATTCAATAATATAGTGTTCAAGTGTATGCTTTAAAGGTTTATGACAAAGTTTACATGCTGAGTGTTCCGGTATGGGTACAGCGTTACTAACTTGCCAGATGTGTCTGTGAAGGACAGATGAATACCTCTCACCTCTTCCCTTCTCCTCTCACCTCTTCCCTCCTCCTCTCACCTCTTCCCTCCTCCTCTCACCTCTTCCCTCCTCCTCTCACCTCTTCCCTCCTCCTCTCACCTCTTCCCTCCTCCTCTCACCTCTTCCCTCCTCCTCTCACCTCTTCCCTCCTCCTCTCCACCTCTTCCCTCCTCCTCTCACCTCTTCCTCCTCCTCCTCTCTTCCCTCCTCCTCTCACCTCTTCCCTCCTCCTCTCCCCACCTCTTCCCTCCTCCTCTCACCTCTTCCCTCCTCTCTCCTCCTCTCATCTCTTCCTCCTCCTCTCACCTCTTCCCTCTTCCTTCTCCCCTAATCTCTTCCCTTATTCTCCTTCTTCTTCCTTCTCCCTTCTCTTCCCTCCCTCCTTCTCCCTTCCTCTCACCTCCTTCCTTCTCCCTTCCTCTCACCTCCTTCCTTCTCCCTTCCTCTCACCTCCTTCCTGCTCCCTTTCTCTTCCCTCCTCATTCTTCTTCCAACATCACCTCCCCTTCTTGCTCTTCCTATTTTTTCCTTTTTGCTTCCTCTTCTTCTTATTCCTCCTCTTCCTCTTCCCCCTCCTCCTCTTCCTCCTCGTCTTCTTCCCTCCTGTCTCTACTTTATTGAGTCATTCGGTGTCTCCCTTCTCCCCTCTTCCTGTCTCTTAACACTTTTTCTTCTCCACAAATTCCTTCTTCTTTCCTCATTATCCATTTTGCCTCTTCCCCCTTCCGTCGTTCGTCTTATTCTCTCTCTCTCTCTCTCTCCTTATCTCATTTTCTCTCTCCTTTTCCTCTCTAATCTTCCCTCTTTCTCTCTCCCCTCTTTACCCCCCCAATCTCCTACCCTTCCCCTTTCCTCTACCCCCCTCCCTCCCTCTCTCATCCTTTCCCTCCCCCTCCACCCTACATCACCTTTCCTCTCCCATCCACATATCCCACCATCCTTCTCTTCACCTACCCCGCCTGCCCCTCCCCGTCTCTCTCACCCCTCCTCCCTCCTCCCCGTCTCTCTCACCCCCCCCTCCCTCCTCCCTCCTCCCCGTCTCTCACCCCCTCCTCTCCCTCCTCCCCGTCTCTCTCACCCCCCTCCTCTCCCTCCCCCCCCGTCTCTCACCCCTCCTCCCTCCTCCCCCGTCTCTCTCCCCTCCCCTCTCCCCCTCCCTCTCCCTCCCCTAGGCTCTCACCGTCACCTCAGCTTGATATATTAACATGTCATAGGATGCAGCCGTCAAACACGACCACAAAACTCCTTTATTTATGATTTAACCCGCGAAAAATGCCTCCACATGTTTCTTCCGCCTTTTCTGAGAAATATATCGACTCACAATACAACTTTAAGCTCAACAACAACATATGGGTAGACATGCATTCTGGCGTCTTGTTTTCGTATTAATTATTATTATTATTATTTTTGCTGGTTTTTTTTATATATATATTTCGATTATTCATTTTTTTTCATTTTTATATATATTTTAACTTTGTATTGTCTCGATAGATATGCAGTATATACGTTTAATTAATAATTTTTAATGTGATTTGAGGATATTTTTTATGAATACATACATACATACACACATACATACACACATACATACATCCATACATACATACATACATACATACATACATACATACATACATACATACATACACACATACATACATACATACATACATACATACATACATACTCGTTTGTCAATTCACATTTGTCTTCTGAGTCACTCGTATTCTTAGGTGTTCTCTTTCCTCCTTCTCTTCTCCCCTTTCGTTGTCATTATTCCTTATTTCCTCTCCTTCATTGACTCTGTTTTCAATTCCTTCCTTTTTCTTCTTCTTTCTCTTCCTGATCTTCCTTCCTTCATTCTTCTTTTCCTTTTTCTTTTCCTCCTCCTCCTCCGCCTCCTGCTCTTCCTCCTCCTCCTCCTCCTCCTCCTCCTCCTCCTCCTCCTCCTCCTCTTCCTCCTCCTCTCTTCCTCCTTACCTCCCCCTCCTCCTCCACAAACCTGACCCCTTTCTCATCCTTCCATACAGTGTTACCTTATCAGTCACGTTTGAGAAGGAAGAGCTGTGAGAGTGGTGAGGTTAACTAACACGAGTATGAGGCAAGAATGAGAGCAGTATGAGGGTGATATGAGAGTAGTATGAGGGTGATATGATAGTAGTATGAGGGTGATATGATAGTAGTATGAGGGTGATATGATAGTAGTATGAGGGTGATATGATAGTAGTATGAGGGTGATATGATAGTAGTATGAGGGTAATATGATAGTGGTATGAGGGTGATATGATAGTAGTATGAGGGTGATATGATAGTAGTATGAGGGTGATATGATAGTAGTATGAGGGTGATATGATAGTAGTATGAGGGTAATATGATAGTAGTATGAGGGTGATATGATATTAATGTAGAGGGGTGATATGATAGTAATTATGAGGTGATATGATAGTGGTATGAGGGTGATATGATGTGTGAGATATTAGTAGTATGAGGGTTATATGATAGTAGTATGAGGTTGATATGATAGTAGTATGAGGGTTATATGATAGTAGTATGAGGGTTATATGATAGTAGTATGAGGTGATATGATAGTAGTATGAGGGTGATATGATAGTAGTATGAGGGTGATATGATAGTAGTATGAGGGTGATATGATAGTAGTATGAGGGTAATATGATAGTAGTATGAGGGTGATATGATAGTAGTATGAGGGTGATATGATAGTAGTATGAGGGTAGTATAAGGACCTTATACCCTGCTCCCTGACACACGAAGGGAATACTCAGCACTAAGTAAAATTAGCACCATCAGCGTAAAACATGAATCCTTCCACCTCTCTCTCCCTCTCTCCCCCTCTCTCTCTCTCTCTCTAATCCTTATCCCCCATCTCTCACAGGATCACCATGGCGTGACAAAATATCCCTGGCCATCCTAGAGCTACAGGAGAAAGGTGTTATCCAGGTACTGTACAACAGATGGTGGAAGAACACGGGGACAACCTGTAACAGAGAAGACAGCAATAAGGAAAGTAAAGCCTCAGCCCTCGGTGTTGATAACATTGGTAAGTGAGTTTGTCTTCTGGGAGCTAATGTTGATAGCTGGTTCTAAATATCTCCTTATTAGTTATTAATTTACTCCTAGATCGCTTCTAAAATTGTTTGTATATGTATAAGTAATAGTTAATAAATAGCTCCTAAATAGGTCAGTAGCAATTTTTTAGTAGCTCCTAAATAGGTCAGTAGCAATTTTTTAGTAGCTCCTAAATAGCTCATTGGTTTAATAGGTTTAATCGAGTCTTTGTTATAGTGGCAGAGTGGGTATAGAGCTCGTTTATTATTCTAAGGGTCACTGGTTCGATCCCAAGGTATTTCCAGTTTAGGTATGTTAGGGATTATCCAGACTGGCATCTATTAGGACTGGAGCCCATTAAGATTTGACCCCTTTAGGACTGGGTCCCGTTAGCATAGGGGCCCATTAGGACAGGGGCCCGTTAGCATAGGGGCCCATTAGGACAGGGGCCCGTTAGCATAGGGGCCCATTAGGACAGGGGCCTGTTAGCATAGGGGCCCATTAGGACAGGGGCCCGTTAGCATAGGGGCCCATTAGGACAGGGGCCCGTTAGCATAGGGGCCCATTAGGACAGGGGCCCGTTAGCATAGGGGCCCATTAGGACAGGGGCCGTTAGCATAGGGGCCCATTAGGACAGGGGCCCGTTAGCATAGGGGCCCATTAGGACAGGGGCCCGTTAGCATAGGGGCCCATTAGGACAGGGGTCCGTTAACATAGGGGCCCGTTAGCATAGGGGCCCATTAGGACAGGGGCCCGTTAGCATAGGGACCCATTAGGACAGGGGCCCGTTAGCATAGGGGCCCATTAGGACAGGGGCCCGTTAGCATACGGGCCCATGAGACTTGCAATTATGTTTTAAGTGAAAGTTGAAGGACCGTGTATATATCCGTTGACTTTTATCTCTCTCTCTCTCTCTCACTCACATTCACTCACTCACTCACTCACTCACTCTCTCACACACAGGTGGAGTGTTCGTGGTATTGCTGTGCGGTCTGGCATTTGCAGTGCTCATTGCAATTTTAGAATTCTGTTGGAATGCCAAGAGAAATGCCCAAATGGACCGGGTAAGTTGATCTCAGCTTAACTCTTGATGTAACCTTAATTTCTTGACCTAAGCTTAACTATTAGCCTAAGCTTAATTTCTTGACTTAAACATAACTCTTGACCTAAGCTTAACTCTTGATCGAAGCTTAACTATTAGCCTAAGCTTAATTTCTTGACTTAAACATAACTCTTGCCCTAAGCTTAACTCTTGACTTTTACTGGTGGCCTCTTCTGCTGACCCTTACACCAGGTCAGTTATTTGTAGTTATCAATCTTCTTCTTCTTCTTCTTCTTCTTCTTCTTCTTCCTCTTCCTCTTCCTCTTCTAAAATATTAATTTGCATTTTGTTATCAGATATTTATACATATATATTAATCCATCTTTTGTGTATAATAAATTCCTTGTTAATATGTATCCATGTTTGTACACGTACATTTTCATTGATCCATAATCGTCAAAAAAGTTGTTTCCCGTCCCACAAATATCTCTCTCTCTCCACTATCTCTCGTAGATCAATATATCTACCATTAATTTTCTTAGAACTATCTACATATCTCTCACATAAATCTCTCACATCTTCATATTCTTCCGACAGTTCCATTCCTCGTGTTTACATCTGATGGATTCAAGTAGCGTTTTTACGGATCCGGATTGGTAAACAACATTAATAGAATAAACATTGCGAGTCTTGCGTTCATCATCTCTGAATCCGGATTCGTCATTTTATTGTGTTGACTCACGCTTAAATCTTATATGGTATTGGGTGTGTGTTAGTGAAGGCTGGTGTGTGAGTGTATTGGAGTGAATCTGAGGTGTAGTAAGGTGTACTGGAGGGTGTGTGAGTGTACTAGAGTGTATTGGAGTGTATAGGAGGTGTAGTAAGGTGTATTGGAGGGTGTGTGAGTCTACTAGAGTGTATTGGAGTGTATAGGAGGTGTAGTAAGGTGTATTAGAGGGTGTGTGAGTGTACTAGAGTGCATTGGAGTGTATAGGAGGTGTAGTAAGGTGTATTGGAGGGTGTGTGAGTGTACTAGAGTGTACTAAGATTTACTGGAAGGTCAAGTGGATGAATGTATGAGTGTACAGTGTAAAAAGTTTGTCTATGAAAGCTTATCGACACAAACAGACGTCAATTACATTTTCTATCTATTCTTTTCTATATATTAGTGACCCCTGACCTTTGACCCATAGCAACAGGTCACTTCACAATCTTCCTGGTTTAAATGTCTTTCCTATAAACACATTATTGACCTCTCCTGACCTTTGTGATTGGGGTCACTTAATCACACCTTTGTCCTAGATATCAATGCAATATTACTTACCCTTTGACCTCTGACCTTCCATAATGAGGTCATCTAAATATTTCCAAGTTGGTTATTGGTTTAATTAATATCATCCATGACCAATGTAGACAAAACAAAATGAATCACGTTGAAAAAAATCGTTTACGTGACCCATTTTTATTACAAATATTTCATTATTGGAGCAGAAAAATAAAAAAAATAAAATATAAAAGCAAAAAATTAATAAATTCTAAAACAAAAAAAAAAGAATATTTTTAAATCACAACAATTTCCTTCCCAGACGAAAATAGAAGTTATTTAGCATAGTCTCTCCTTCCAGGTCTGCAGTATGCACTTACGAGACCAACATTTCAGAGTAAGACCAACAGACTATAAAGGTGTTGTGGTAATTGCTATAGACCTCTCATTGAAGATATTAATGCACGGTGTACTGTGGAAAAAAATAATATTGGATGTATTTTGTATAGCATGAGTTGCCTTTATATGTCTGTACTTGTAACTATATAGGTCTGATTATATATTACTTACGTTTTCTATATAACAAGTCTTCAAGGAGGACTAACTTAAACACCATTGCTCGTTTAACTAAATTATACACTAATTTTTTTATAAGTTATCCCTCTTATATTTTATTATGGTAGACTGAGGTGAGGTTTGTCAGGTCAAAGGTCTTCTACAGTAGAGTGAATGACCTGCATGAAGTTTGATCAGATTAACTGTACGATTTTTGTTATGAAGGCAGTGTTTAGTCATGCACGTTTGATGTTGTTATTATTATTATTATTACGTGTTTCCTTGTGATCCCTGCCTTCGTTTCATTGCTATTATATAACTGAACTTATAGATAGTGATATATTAAAACAGAAAGACAGAAGGCCAGTTAAATAAATAGACAGACAGACAGACAGACAGTCAGACAGACAGACAGACAGACATACAGACAGACAGACATACAAGAGGTGTTATAGAAGCTACAGTCCAGGTGATATATAACGACACTACTGTAAGGTTACATAAATACAAAGGCTAGACCTGATGTGTGGGTGTGTGGGGGGGGGTAGGGGAAGTGTGGGTGTGTGTGGGGGAGGAAGTGTGGGTGTGTGTGTGGGGAGGGAGTGTGGGTGTGTGTGTGGGGGTGTGGGTGTGTGTGAGGGGAGGGGAGGTGTGGTGTGCGTGGGGAGGAGGAGGTGTGTGGGTGGGTGGGTGTGAGGGAGGAGGTATATGTGGGTGTGTGTGGGGGAGGGGGAGTGTGGGGGAGTTGTATGTGTGCGAGTGTGAGGGGATGTATGTGTGTGTGTGTGTTTAAAACCGTAATAAAACAGTAATAAAAACACCTTTAAAAAACACTATAAAACTCTATAACTCTGAAAGTAAAATATCTACTATGTGTAAAGATACATATACAATACATATATATAAAACATAAACATATAAACACCATCCGGGGAACTATTGAACCCTGACAAAGTCTTTCTAAAAATAGTTAAAAATATTATACAAGAATGTTTTAGGCAGTAAGTTGCCGTATTTCTAGACTTCATACAGCAAACATCAATGAACTTCGTAGTATGAATTTATTAATATTTCTTTACCTTTTCCATACATATATCTTCCCTCTCTCTCTCTTTCTTCATCTCCTGCAGCAGTCACTATGCGCGGAGATGGCAGAGGAGCTTTGTTTTGCTATGAGGTGCCGGGGATCACGCCAGCGACCTGCCCTCAGGAGACAGTGTTCCAGATGTGTACCCGGGGCCGCATATGTACCTACCGGCCTGGAAGTGCTGGAGGTACCTCACATCAACGGTAACGGTGTAGGTGTTCCTGACCGTGCTCGTGCGGTAGATAGATGGGGAGGTGTTGATATGGTAGTTGGGTAGTTGGGTAGATAATAGTTTGTTCGTTTGTCATTGAGTAGGTGATTATTATTATTATTGAAGTGGATTTGTTTATTGATGGGAGGAGCTTGTTGTATGGAGGCAGTCAGACAGACAGACAGACAGAGACAAATTGGTTGAACTGAATGATTCGAGGCAGCCAATCTTAGTATCTAGCTCCAATCTCTTTAAGCACACTAGGAGACAGAAGACTGGCCAAGCAGGAGACGGGAAGATTGGTACACAGTGATTAGCTAATTGTAAATATACGGAAAACAGTTTATAATAATACCTCCATGTGACGGGTTATCCTCTTCATATAATCTGTTAAATCAGGGTTTTATTACCAGTGGGATAATCTACTCGTAACTTTAGTGGTAATTTAGGTAGACATTTGGTAGATGATGCTACTGTGATCGGTTCAGTTAAGTAGATTAAAAGTAGATGTGACAAAAAAGTCCACTTGAATAGATTCTTGGTAGATGGATGAATTTTATAAGTTTTAATTGAAAAACGTGAGGTATTTATTTTTTCTATAGCCGTTGAACTATTTTGAAATTTCCGTAATAAATTTATACATTTTATCAGACTGTATGAAATGATTTGATTCAGTTTGTTATTGTATTTAAAATTTAGAGTAATTTGGTTTTTCATATTATTTCCTATAGACTATATTATCCCCTGCCTAGTATCAAATAACTATAATTTCCCTATCCATTGACTTATTAACTGTATATTACCCTTATCTATTGACTGTGAACCATATTTTTCCATGTACAGTGTCTGTCATCGTATTTTTTTCCCCTAGGAGAAGAGTCTGACAGGGACGAATGACCTCAGGCCTCGAAAATCTTCCCTGAAGTCCTCCCTCCCCTTACTGGCTCCTCCGTACGACTCGAAAATCTCCCAGAATTTTCACTCATGAGCCACGACCCCGAGTGCATGCTGAATAGGCATAAGTACATGAAGAAAGGAAGAGTGAATAATGGAAATTATGACGATTCAGAGAGTGGTAAGTAGATAATGAGTGTATAGACAGCTAAAGTCAATCAAGAGTGCATCATAGTGTAAAGCAGCATTCAGGGATCGAAGCTGAAAGTGCTTATGAGTGCATAATTGTGTTAAGTCTCTTTGCACTTATGAATCGAGGCTTAGAGTGCTTACTGACCGGTAGGAAATGAGTACAGGAGTGAAAAGCATTTACATAGACTCAGTTCACAGGCCAGAGTACATACTGAGTGGATATTGAGTACTCAAGAGTGAAAAGTGTTATCGTTTTAAAATCATTGTCCAGAGTACTTGTTGGATAGATTACGAGTGCATGAGAGTGAAAAGTGTAACCATTAGTACTCAAGGATCCTGGTTTATAGTGAAAACTGAGTTGATAATGAGTGTAGACGGTGCAGTTGAGTGCAAACCATCACCACTATGACCTTGAGTGTAACATGACCATACGATGAGCGCAGAAAGAGTACATAGGGAAGTCATCCTCACTCCCAACCCATATTTCATGAGTACGTGAGAGTGAAGATTATTAACATGGAAATTATTTTACAGTTCCGAGTACATCTTGAGTTGAAAATGAGTACAGGAAGTATATCTCATAAGTAAGCAATGAGTGCTGAGAGTGAAAGATATAATTCACAGCAAAGAACACCAACTTAATAAACACTGAATTAAGGTAGAGTGCAACTTTGAGTACAGGAGAGTGTATGTATTAGTTTATTGTTAAGAGTACTCAGTAGATAAAGGGATATTCCAGGCAGAGTACAAGTCTTCACTCATACATGATTCAGGGTGTTTTAGAGTCAACATGAGTGCTAGAAAGTACTAAGTATCGCCGTCTGTCTTATCACGATGCCAAAGACTTTATCTGGATGCGGTTTTGTCTGTGAGCTGAGATGGTCTGTGAATTTCCTCTTATGGCGTGAATTTAAGCCCCGAGAATCTATGTACAGAATAAGTAAAAGAAACGTACTTATGCTGTACATAGATAATACTTTAGCTTAACATTACAATATTCTCAAAAGAAACTCAGCATTTAGTAAGTTAATTAAGCTAAGTCAGCTAACAGTTCACATATACAGCTATAATCCCAACGAAGGAAGATAGAATGTGTGAATTTTTGTATCAATTATTACCCCCCACCCCCCCACCCCCACCCCCACCCCCCCACCACCCCCACCAAAAAATAAAGAAAGCATTTTGATGTCATTATCTATTAAGATTTTATAAGTAGTTTATAGTAGCATACGTGAGGTAAGTGTGGTGAGGTTTGTATTAAAGTAAAGGAGAATCTAAAAGTTATTTGAAAAGTGAATAGATAAGAAAAAACAATTCTTTCAAATAAAAAAAAAAGGAAAATAAATTTAAAATGAAAATATGTTACAAAATAAAGAACCAGTATCATTCTAGCAGGAGGTGGGGGGTAGGAGAGAGAGAGAGAGAGAGAGAGATGTTAATTCATATCGTAAATAAGGGGCATGGGATCTCTCTCTCTCTCTCTCTCTCTCTCTCTCTCTCTCTCTCTCTCCCAAGGTATGAATGAGACTGAAAAATCATTAGATACATAATGTGTTCATAGTGAAGAGTCTTAAGTGTCATGTATATATCCATTGTTGATATTTTCAAAGCCTTTACCTGTTGATTGACACCACAATACAGCATTGGCGTAATTTACTCCAGGTAGAGTAATTAAGCAGCCAACCTGACCTTACTTTACCTAACCCAACCCAAATGAATAACAATGAAAAAATCTAATCCGCCAACTTTCAATAGATTTTCTCCGATTTTTTCTAACCTGTCCATGCTGGCCTTACGTGACCTGTAATTTACTCCAGGATTTAGAAAGTAAATAAAGGTTATGAAGGAAACCAAGGCGCTGATGAATGTTTTCTTAGAATTATGACAAGGAAGATCTATTTCACAGGTTTATTAGACAAGAAAGATCTATTTCACAGGTTTATTAGACAAGAAAGATCTATTTCACAGGTTTATTAGACAAGGAAGATCTATTTCACAGGTTTAATAGACAAGGAAGATCTATATCACAGGTTTAATAGACAAGAAAGATTTATTTCACAGGTTTAATAGACAAGAAAGATCTATTTCACAGGTTTATTAGACAAGAAAGATCGATTCCACAGGTTTAATAGACAAGGAAGATCTATTTCACAGGTTTAATAGACAAGAAAGATTTATTTATCAAGTTTATTAGACAAGAAAGATCGATTCCACAGGTTTAATAGACAAGGAAGATCGATTCCACAGGTTTAATAGACAAGGAAGATCTATTTCACAGGTTTAATAGACAAGGAAGATCTATTCTTCAATTTAATTAGACAAAAGCGATTAATTCCTCAAGTTTTTTATACAAGAAAGAATTATTCATCATATTTATTCTAGCTTGAAAAAAAAATAGCATAGATGTTTGAATGTCAATATGAGTGTAAGTGTTCTTAAGGAGATTAAACATTGTTCTTGCATTTATGTCATTTTGCTTATGATTATTGTTACGAATGTCGTGAGTAAAGTACTGTACGTGGCTAACAGAACGTGAACACGGACGGGCACGCACATACACGTACATGAAATCAAATATAATATTATACTATGTGCACAAATACATACATACATACATACATACATAACACGTTGATTGACAAATTTTGGGGTGTGTTCACGTTGACAAGTGTGTCGAGACTGATAAGTGTATTTACGAGGCCGTGTCCATGAGGCCAAGTGTGTCCATGAGGCCAAGTGTGTCCATGAGGCCAAGTGTGTCTATGAGGCCAAGTGTGTCCATGAGGCCAAGTGTGTCCATGAGGCCAAGTGTGTCTATAACCTGTGTGTGTCTACGAAGCCAAATGTTTACTAGGCCAAGTATGTCTAGGAGCCCAAATAAATCTAAGAGGCCAAATATGTCTATGAGGCCAAGTATGTCTACGAGGCCAAGTGTGCCCCTGCGAGGCCAAATAAGTAGCATAAAAAAAAATTCTGTAACATATATAAATGTACAAAAATAGTAAAGGAATATCGTTGTTTACTGAAAGACTAATGTGTGTTTTATTTACCTATATTTAATAGAGAGAGAGAGAGAGAGAGAGAGAGGGGTGTTTGTTCTTTTACTTTACTTCATGGTTAGTGTGTATGTGTGTTGAAAATACACACAAAAAATCATATACCTCCTACACACACACACACACACACACCCTTCGGGCTGCAGAACTTTTTCAATAAACCATTATTACCTCCTACACACACACACACACACACACCCTTCGGGCTGCAGAACTTTTTCAATAAACCGTTAATTATTATTATTAATGTTATTATTATTATTATTATTATTATTATTATTATTATTATTATTACACACACACACACACACACACTCCACTACTTTGCTGTCACTCGGAATCGAGCATGACGATCATTCAGCTGATACAATGATATGAGTTATTAAGGATGTCACCTAGGTTGGTGAGTTTTGAGGTGACTAAAGAGGCCGATACGGGACCGGCAGAGTTGTTCACAGATTTTGCACAGGTGGAGGGCTACATCTAGTGCGGGAGGGCCGAAGGCAGCGTCTTTCCGGCGTTGGCGTTTGTCTACCTCGGTTTGCAGTCGGGCTAACTCGAAAGTATTGACACCTTCTCGTGTGGTGCTCCTCCAAGCGTTACGGTGTGGAGTAATCGACTCCCAGGTGAGGGGGTCGATTTGCCACTTTTTCAGGTTTGTCTTAAGACTATCCTTATACCGTTTCAGTTGCCCGCCAGAGTTACGTTTACTACTCGTTAGGTAACTGTAAAGTTCATAGTGTTCTGGCTTCACAATGAGGAAGGACTTGCTGGCGTTTGGGTGGTACCCTATTTGTGGACCTCGTGATGTTACCAGGTCCCACCATTTTTTGATGTCCTCCACTTTTCCTGTTCCTGTTAGGTCATCAGCGTATGCCACTTGCTTGACCTCGGTTGTTTCATAGTTTATTGTGTGTTGGAGCACAGGTAGGCCTAGTGAGTACATTGCCATGGTGACAGGGTCCACCTGTGTTGTTCCCTCAGTTGGCTGTATGGTGGTATCACCTCTTTTCGTCATACTCGATTCCGAGAGACAGCAAAGTAGTAGTAGTATCATCTCTTAGGGCCTTGATGCTTGTTATATCGAGGTCTGATGGGTTTCTATAGGTGTTTTCAACATACAATGCAAAGCTCGGACACTTGATCTTGATGTTGTGTAGTGTGGCCTTGCGATTGATTGTGTTGAATGCGTTGGAAGCATTAACCAGAAGTACTGCCTCACAATCACGCTGCTCAAATACCTTTCTCTTGGCGTGAATGGCAGCTTCACCTCCAGCCTGGTGGCCAGTACACACTTGTAGGTTCCATGCAGCTGCCCTGACATCATCATTTACCACCTCCATTATGCATTTTCCACTTATCCGTCTCAGCACTTCCCCCACCCCTATAAGCCTACATCCTACATCCATTTCTTTGGTGGCCGCGCACTTGGGTGGTTCAAAGAGGTTAGCTGGCGACCACCTGACTACTTCTGAGTGGACTTCTTTGACCCACTTCTCTGCATCGTCCCCCTCAAGCCTTTCCAATTTGTTGACTGTATGTCATTCACCTCATGAACAGTATTTTCCGACTGAGTGGGTTCACTACTATCGTCTGACATGTCGTATGAATTTTGACAGCTGGTCCCTTCCCTACAACCCACACAACGTGTGTTACTTCTCACACAAATACAGGTTGTGCATTTCTGGTTCCGGCCTGAGTAAAAACACACATTTCCCAGCCATGACGTCGATCTGGGAGAGGGAGAGCAGCGGGAGGGGTAGATGGTTGTAGTTTGAGAGGGGTGGGAGGGATGATGGGGCGGGGCGGGGCGGGGCGGGGCGGGACCTTTACCACCCATGACTAGCTCGGGTTACAAGCCACGGCCTACGTGGCCCTGACCAACACCAGCGCCACCTGCTAGACAGTCCCCGGCTTTCCAATAACTATCACTAATATCTACTCAGGAGGCTTACAGGTGGATGACACTGTGATCATTTGACGCACTATACATTCACAAGTAATAATTCTGACTGGTTGTCCCTGTTAAGACCCCGGAAAACTCGGAGCTATTACGACCCACATCCTCCCTCTGCTGCTACCCTAGGTGTGTTGAGTTAGTTAGGCCACAGATCTATGCGAGATTCAGTGACTGTTGCCTCATAGTTGGCTTTGTGGCCGAAGATCTCATTCTCCTGAGGCAAAGCAATGCAGACCTAAGTAGAGAGAAGGACAGGCGACATCTCAAACAGGCTGTAACATAACTTCTGGGCTGTTGCTTCTGTTCAGATAACACCTCCGCGAGTCTGGTGTAGAAACTTCTTGCACTTGGTCCCAACCCATCAGAGGTTGTGAACATCAGCTGCCCTGATCAACATTCTGAATTCTCTCCCCATATGCCCTAAACTTGTTGTTCTCGTTCCTCCTGTGTGCAGTCTCCAGAGAAAGGTTAGAGTGACATGCGGCCATGGGGTCGAATATCCTAACGTCAAGGAAGGCTCGCTGTCCCCGTGTCCAGAATCCTCGACTACTGACGTCCACACGGGCTTCGTTAGATGTGTTTGAAGTCCTGTGGTGAATGTTCTCACCGTTCAGTGGAAAGAGAGTCGGTTCCACCCTGATGTGGTGACATATTTCCTTCTGTGTATTTGCTTTGAAATCCCTCACTGAGTCGTGCCTCATGCATACGAAGCCCCCCCCTTCTTGCACACCATGGCGGGATGAATATAAAATAAACCGCACGACCAAGAAAAACAAAAACAAACTTAAAATACATATATCATCTAAATTGAAATATATCTAACCTTAAACTGTTTCCAGAGCTTAATTATAATATAAGACTTGGCTATATATTAAGATGATGTATAACTTGCAGTGCGTCATGATTATAGAGAAAAACTATAAGAAGATATATTATGGCGTAGTGGGTCTTCAGGGAGGAGGGGATACTGACCTATAAATCAACGAATGGAGATACGAGCCTAAGTTTTATTCTTAATTATTAGTTTGGTGATGTGATAGACAGATAGAGAGACAGACAGACAAATGAACGGATTGACAGACAGACAGACAGACAGACAGACAGACAAACGAACGGAT